AAAATATGTGTTGCATTTTGCAATAAGGAGCCACTATTTCGGGCCCATTTTAGAAACATCATGCATGCCATTGGTTTCCCTATGCAGATGTGTACTTTTATGGGAGAGCCAGAGATAGTGTTCCTTGTAGCAAAATGTAATCCATATAACTTTGGTCGAAGCTTCGTCCTGAGCGATCCTTGAAATGGGATAATTAAGGTACCTACTACGGAAGGTACCCGGGCATTCTTAAAACTGTCATCAGTCAAGGAGGATTTTGAAACGGAAGTACAACTTCGCAACAGCGCTGCATTTGAGACCCCCAGCCAAGGGGAGGAGGAAGGGGGGGGATTGATTCGCGAAAAATGGAAATAAATCCTGCAGATGAATATGTTTCCGCGCCGTTAGTCATGAACAAAGGAAATCGTTGGCATCCGGTTTCACACTTTTAAATTCAGCAAACCATGCGCATAAAAACTGAACGTTTGATTCGTGAAATGCGCTGGCTTTTCGAAATATTGATGTCAATCATTTTTGCGAGGAAAATTAAAGTGCGAACGAACTCGCCCTACACGTGTGCCAGACCAACCGTTGCGCCACACAGTGGATCAAGTCAATCAGAATGGTCGGACATGAAATTTTTAACTAAAACTGCAAATTTTAATGTCTAATTCATCACATTTCAAATTTTAAGGGGTGCTTTCAGAAGAAAATTTTACGAGGAAACCATTGAAACCACTTTCAGAACCTCAAATTTTTGTATAAACGGAGTTATAAGCCTTTAAAGTTTCCAAATTTTGTCCGACTTCTGCAATTGACTCGACCTATTGTGCGCCATTGGTTTCCCGTGATTTAATCGGAGAGATGATGTTCTCATACGCCCCCCCCCCCCCCCAGAATGAATTTAATGGCAATTTTAACATCACACTTGCAAAGGCACCCGACAAACCACCGAAATAAGACGCCACACCTCGCACTGTCGGGCCTGATTACCCTGCTTTTCCTCTATAGTTTAAGGCAACGGGGAATCTCGATGTCATGAGGAAAAACAATACCTATATAGAAATTTTAGTTCGGACCTAACAAAATGTTTAATTCCGAGAAAATCTGGAATTCTTTAGATTGCACTGCGGACGAAATTCTATTAAAAATCTTGGAGGAAAAATATTCGCGAGTGTCCCTGAAAATTCATATTTTATCAAACGAAATTTAGCAACGTCTGAAAGCTCATACTGCGTTCTTCCTCCGCACGGCAGTTTCCTTAAGATCGTGTTACTTAATTCACTTTCAAATATAAAAACCATTAGCCTTGACAAATGAAAAATAGCTTCCTCTATCTGACCCGGAAATATAGAATGCAGGGTCAATAGAAAACATCCCTTTCCTGGTACTGCACGCACGTAATTCACTTAATAAGGGGAGGTGATACGATGCGAGAAAAGATAGGTACGATGCAAAAGCCGTCTAAATATTCTTGAATAGTATTATCGACTCTTGCCGGCAGGCAAGAAGACCAAACAGCCAAAATAGTGTGCTAAAAAGGAACGTCGTAAGTGTATATACAATCATTGCCACATTTACCTCGACAATACAATCATTACTAAAGGAAGTCATGAATCCTATTCCGTGAGATTTACGGATATAATATTTAAAATTAAGATTGCAATTTAGTGCCAAGTTGGAAGAGAAATATTCCCAAAATTTTCCGAGAACTTATTTTCTAAGAAAAAATATACGGCGCTGCTAAGAAGTTCACTCGGGGTTTTTCTTTCGCACGCCAGCAAAGTTCGCGGACAATTCGAAAATCCATCAGATTCCCGAGACAATGCTGGGTGCGCGGAAACAGATTGAATAGAATGGAGGGGCTTGAAGGACAAGGCGCATAAGCGCAGTTTTTTTAGAAAATTGAGCTATGAATGATTTCAAGTAAAACCCGTCTTGATGCATGTTCTGTGAAAAATTCACTCCCAAATTCCAATTTGTGAGTACCATAAAGTCAGTTTGAGCTTTCTTTCCGCCAAAGGATCCATGTAATTTCGAAACTTGAAACATGTATTCCTCGAAATAGCAAAACCTGTACTTATGCGCCTTGTCCTCCAAGCCCCTCAATGCATGTTTTGATTACCTAATATGGTTACTAGAACCGGCTCGGCAAATCTCCGGATTACGGACTGACAGCGTTCGGGAACATATCCAACAGAACAAGGACTCAGTAACGCATTAACAGCGCCTTCGGAACACCAAAAACTGCCTTACTACGCGATGGAACAAACACCACACCGAGAAATCGCACCGCGTCGAAAAACGCTATGAAATCCAATCCAGGAAAAACCGACCGGACGAGCGAGTTTTCCCGTGAGACTTCGGCGAAAAACCACGTAACTATTCGCGATGGATCAAACACCACACCAAAAATCGCACCGCGTCGGAAAACGCTAGGAAATCCAATCCAGGAAAAACCGACCGGACGAGCAAGTTTTTCCGCGAGACTTGGGCGAAAAACCGAGTAACTAATCGCGATGGAACAGACACCACACCGAAAAACGCTGGGAAATCCAATCCAGGAAAAATCGACCGGACGGGTGAGTTTTTCCGCGAGACTTTGGCGAAAAACCGCGTAACTAACCGCGATAAAACAGACACCACACTGAAAATCGCACGCTAGGGAAATTCAATCCAGGAAAAGCCGACGGGTTTTTCCGCGAGACGTCGGCGAAACGAGAAGGCGGAGCACAGAGCGCGAGTGTCGTGCGAAAATCCTCGACGTCGGTGGCGAAAAGAAAAGAAGTAGGCCAAGCGGAAGAAAAACGGAAGCGGAAAAGGCGCGCGCGATGACTGGTCGACGACGTTCGGTTCGAGGAGGGACGCGCTTGGCGCCTTCGGATAGTCTCCGCACGGACACGAGACGAGCACTGCAGACCGGCACAGCTCCAGCTCGGCAGTGGGGCACGGGCTACGTCACAGCCTGACGTCGGTTTTTGCGTTATCTCCCCCCCCCCTTCAACGTTTCGCGCGCGTCGACGTCCGCCCTTGCGGCGCACAGTGAGCCGAGCGAGGCGATTGGCGAAGCAGAGCTTCATGTAGGAACTTGAAAAGCTTTTGGCTGAATCGGTTGTTTTCGAGAGGGAACAGGTCTGTTCCTCGATGTGTCATGTGTCTTAGTTTTTATGCAAGCCAAGGCTTATGCAAAAATGGACTTGTTCTCTTTTGGAAACAACCGATTCATCTGCTGTGCAGGGTGTATACTGAAACAGGCTGGCCAAAAATCGGTACTTTTCCGGTACATTCTCAACAAATTCAGTATACTTTTCCAGTACCTCCATTTGACGAATTTGACGAATTTCTAGCTCAAAAATGACAAAATCCGGACCTCTTGGCGGAATTTCCGCACTTTTTCAGAGCTTCTAGACCGCCCTAAAAAAATCATTACTATTTCAGAATTGTAGACACCATGGCCGTATTGCCGGACGCCCGAATTTTCGGAATCTGTTCAAACGAGCTTAAATTAACTGAATGACTTCTCTTCAACAGTAAAATTCGTCTGATTAAGACAAAAACGAGATTCATGAGCATACAGCGAGAGCGAAAAAAGTTGCCATTTCGGACAAAACAGCAGAGAGTGCAAATTATTGCGCGAGAGGGCTAAGTGCACTGGAAAAAAAAAAACACATTGGATCTAGAGTCCAGACTCTTGAAAACATTGACAAGAAAAAATACTCTTGATTCAATCGGATTTTTGCTTGAATACAAACGAAAGCCGCTTGAATTAAGAGACTTGGTTCTTGATTTAAGCTAGATTCTGATTGAATCAAGAGTACATACGTTTTCTTGTCGATGTTTTTAAGAGTCTGGACTTTGAATCAAGAGTACATACGTTTTCTTGTCGATGTTTTTAAGAGTCTGGACTTTAGATCCAATGTGTTTTTTTTCCAGTGTGTCTTGAGTAATATGATATTCTTTCCGGCCAATTTCCCGGTTCCGTCGGGTGTCTCGTAAAATTCTCACTGAGCAGCACCCCTAAAAAGTTACCAAGTGACAAAATGAGCGAGTAAATTGCGTGTAATCGCATGTAGTAACATTCCATGTCCAATCTCTGCTGATGGTTCAAGGCACTGTGCGGCGGCCCATTCCGCCCGTTTGACGATTCGTATACGCTCTCGTCCGCTTCCTTTCCACTTCCGGCATTCCCCTGCCCGATCCTGGTTCTTTCGCATTCCTCCGACACTTGTTGCGTGGACGCCGGGATGAACTCCGGCCCACACAAGACGCACTCGCCCCAGACCCACTTGCAAGACGTCGGGTTTTTCCAGTTTTGCGTCGGGTTGTCAGGATGTAGGAGGTGGGCTCGGCCCCTCAAAGGCCGGAAAGGCACCTTCCGTTTCCAGGGGAAGAGGGAGGTCCGGATATGCTTGACTTTATCTATGTCAGGATAGTTGAGAGTTCAGAAATTCAAAATGTTCGAATTTAATCGGAATCAATCCAGTAGTCACTTTGGAAGTTGGCAACACTGTATTTCCTCCCTCCAGTCAAATCCATTGAAAATATCGATTGTGGGTGAGGCTTGAATTTAATCGGAATCAA